GGAGAGGGAGGAGGAGGAGAAGCCACTTGCCTAAGGGAGAAGAGCCTAAAACGAAACTCAGGTCACCAGCACTTTTCCCTACTACACTGTGATGCAGTACTGGTGATACTCAGGATCCGAGCTAGATCACACTCACGTGTCTAATGGTCACAAGCCCAAACTAACCTATGGGCTTACAGTATCTCCCACTTTTTTATGAAAACCAAAAATAATAGCCAGAACAAAGGCATCAGAATATACGAGCCTGAAGCACAATTAACCCATCTGAAAACTGTCTATGGGTTTTGGGTATTTATATGTTATAAGTGAGTTACAGTGATTGTGTTTTGGTTTTTGTTGCTGTTTGGTTTTTTGCCAGACTTCCTAGAGAAACCCGCAATGTGTTTTTTTTTTTTTTTCCCCTTCTTTGCCCTTCACTAAAATGAATTTTGATGCAGTCAAAACAATGCACAAATGAAGTCAAGAGCAGTTCTCCCTCCGCCCGGTGGATGCTGGCCTGTCTCCTTCCCGCTGTTGGCAGCCACCTGGTGGAGCTGCAGTACATCATTGTTTAAGAGACAAATACGAGATGATGAATTGCCAGTCTGTTGCCACAAACTTGGTCTCACAGCTTAAAATAGTAATCTGTAGTGTTTTCGGATGAGAAGTTAAACGTCAACCCAGCTCCAGGAGCAAGTATGAACCTTTCCCCCAGCTTTAAGTGCAAGTATAAATCTCTTGCCCTGTTTGAGAAACGGGTACACATAGCCACCAGTTCTCTTGCCACTCCGATTCCCTTCTTGCTTCTTTCGTGAACTTCTTTCCCCTACAGTCCCACATGGCAAGTCAGGGACAAGATTCAAGAGAACGGAAGAAAGGCGTACGCCAAGGAAGCACGTCAGCTCCGCAACCCAATGACTGCTTTGTCCTCACACCCGCTCTGTACTTCTGTCTGTCCTAATGTCGCTTCCCTCAGAGAGTGTAAATTTGGTAAGCAGTCAAATCAGAGGAGGCCTGCACACAGCTATCCTTAGTTCAGAATCGGTAAGAGGTGATACTCTAGCATGAATTAGGAAGTACACTGGAGTTCCAAGGTGAATTCTACCAACACCAAAAGTACACATTTGCAATCCCTCCCTCCCTCTCTCTCTCACCCCCACACATACTAACCCTTACCTTACCCCCTCATCTATCCACTCCAGCCAAAAAAGACAAAACAAGTCCATTCTAACTTAAATGCATTGATACTGCTTTAGATTAACCCCATCTTCTTCACTAGAATTCAGGACACTTTTGACACCAGTAGAATTAATGTCCCCTTAATGAATCGCGACATTCTTTGTGAAGAGAAGCTGTCCAGTGGTTAAGTCATATTTTCTATGCCCAGAGGGAA